AGGATATTGTAACAGACCTTCAGCTGGACCTGGCTGGCAGCCGCAGCAGCTGTGGAGGGAGGAGCAAATACATCTCATCCCCTACATCTCTCACCCTCTGCCTCATCCCAAGCTTGCACCTTGTCCATGTTGGACCAACCTGCCTTAGCTCCTAATGGCTACAGAAACATCCCTTCACTGCTCCCTTAGAGTGCTGGTGCTCTGTCTCCCAGAGCCAGCCTGTGGCCTCGCTGACCTACTCATAACCTGCTGCACCAAGGATGCTCCCTGGCCTCAGTGGTGGTGCCAGTGGAGCAGAAAGAAGAGCCACAGTGGGCTGGCTTTTCACACTGCCTGGCAATGGGAAAAGATGCCATGGTGCCTTTTGCTTGGTTAAAACTGCGCAGGTTGACATTATAACTGAAAGTCAAATTCATTGGAGAAAACGGAATTGATTTTTCAGAGAGAGTCTCTGTTACAGATCCTTTTGATGTCCAAAGCATTCCACTGTGCTCCTTTAGCTTTTATCAACAATGCAAGAAGGCAATTAATTATTCTTTCGTAAACTGTAAACCTTAGAGGTAAGGTGGAGCTTTTACTGGGGCTGGGTGAGAAAGTTTGCTCCCTCTAGCTCTGCTGTGTACAGAACTGCTGCTATGCTTTAAGGCTGAGTACTTCTAAAGAGTGCAGGCAAGTTATATTTGAAGCATTTACTTACTTCTTTGTCATTGGTCAAGCCTAGATTCTTCATGTCTAGGACATTATAAAAAGTGTTGTTCAAGACCACTTCTATGACCTGTACCTGAAACCATGAAAACGGATGAGACAGTGAATTAGGGCACCTCTTCAGCAACAGCCTGGCAGGCTTTTCACTTGCTGTAGAAAAAGAACAATGCAGCCCTCCCAGTACAGTTGACTAAATGTAATCTAGTGAACATGTGTCGTGTAGGACACCTTTCCCTTTTACTCAAGTGCTGCCAAGCACTGAGTGATATTCTCCCCTGTTGTGTTCACACCTGGGAAGCAGCATAGGAACTTCTCAGTGTGTTTGTGTTTTTTCTGACCATCTGGCTGTATCACCAGTTTTCAGTCTGACAGAGGAAATAATAATCTCATGTTTGTTTCTCGCTCATCCAATTAACATTCACTATTGTTTAACTAAAACATCATAAGGAGGAAAGAAGATACCTGTGACACTTTGGAAAGGACAAGCATCTGGATAGAGTTGACAGTTTTCTGATATGAGGGTGAATATTCCCCACAGTCAGGTGGTCCGGAAAAGGCTTCAAGGATACATTCACGGATTTTGTTCCTAGAGGTAACACAGGTTCTTACAAAACTTTGAATCAGCTCTCTCTGTTTAGATCCAAAATGTTTTACTGTGAGGTGGGGTTTTTGTATTTTTTGTGTCTTTGTGGAGGAATGATTTATTTGTCCTGTCACCTCCAAATTCTTCCCAGGTCTCCCCCACCAGCTCTAGAATTCACAAGCAGGTTTTGCTAAAAGTATTTTAAAAAATCATTATTTTATTCTCCAGATGTGTTCTGTACTGAACACTGAACTGTTCATTTAAATCCTGTCCACTGAGGCAGCATCAGAGAGAGGAGTACCCCCAAGACATGCCTCTCACTCCTTGTAACGAGCTTAGTGCCACCACTGAGACCTGCAAGTGGCTGGTGCACAGCAGATGCAGATCTAGCCCTTACACCTGCTGTGTTGTATAGAGGGATTTGTGGCCATAGATTAGGTAATCAGTATTACTTGGTAAGACATATACCATATGCAGTCAAAGTCAAAATCCTTGCATTCGCCATATGACCACTTGCAGAAGAGCTCTCCACATAGAATCCTGTCATGCCTTTCAGGAAGTGTGGTGTGTTCATTCTTATAGAAGCCTTCAAATCCAGACTGTGTCGTCTTCATAAGTTTCAGGTCTTTAATTCCAGCAAAGACGACCAGAGGACCTGTGATCCAAAATTACAAGACAATAGGAGCTCATTTTCAGGCAGAGGGATAAAAAACTCTGGGTGATACTTGCAGTGACAGCTCCAAAGCCAGAAAGCAGATAATAATTTTCTGCACACTGATGTTAGCAGAATGGTAAGAAGCAAGACAAAAACTACTGAAGTCAGAGCTCAGTCCAGAAAATGGAGAATCCCACCAATTGACCTGCACTTAAGGAGAGCTTTTTTATCTCACCTGCTTGGAACTGGGACATGCATTGGGTTGGCTCCCACTGATGTCAATTAGGAATGACTGATTTCTCTAAAGGGAAATGAAATAGGCTACTAGTGCTGTGGTGTACAGGAGAGGTATGGTGCCCCTTTTCTAACAACACAGACAAGTGCAAAAACAATCTGTGTAAAGGCAGAGCCTCAGTCAGAAATTTGCTTTACATAGCCATCCTGTTGGGAGTTTTACATCCCTGAGAATGAGAGGGCGAGGAGCCAGTGCAAATCCCTGCAGCTCAGCTAATGAGCAGGAACTGGCATCGATACAGATGCCACCCACAGATTCAAACTGACAGTGACTTTGCTCTTAGCCACTACTTATAAATGTGCTGTTGTGGATCACTGCTGCATGAGTGCATTACCATCTCCTAAAGATCAAACAGTTGTGTCCTGAATGTTTTCTCCTGACACACCTTCTGAATGGTGGCTAAAAATTATATGCAGTCAGTCATTTAGAGCACACCAAACTGATAACTGAAAATTTCACCAGAACTGCCAAAAAGCAGATTCAGAAAGTAGAAACTTCATGGCATGCAGGCTCATCTCATTCAGGGCCTGTACAGACAGCCAGTGGCTGAAGCCCAAGCTGCTGTTTCTGTACTGCTCTTGGTGCTCGCACTAGCTAGTAATCCTTGAATACATCTCGTGCATAGTAATCCTGCCTTGGACTGGGAAGACTGACAAATTTTATCTTTAAACCATGTCTTTGCAGGAATTTATACTGGAAACAATTCCACTGTGGTAGATGTTTCTCAACTGCATGATTGTTTAGAGATTTGGGTTTTTTTAAACTGCTCTGTAACTGGATATTATTGAAACTGCGTCTTATGTTTCTTTTATCTATCTTTTCTTGTTTACGTTCCCTATTGGTTTTGAATGAGTCTATGGAGGTATAGCTGTACTTTTGCCTATATCGCCCAGTTATTTACCAAAGCCTTAAAAAGATGTAAAGAAGAGACTGTCCTTGGACAGGATATTCTGGGGTTTGTTCAGATCTTGATTAATTTGTTGCTTGGGTATAAGATTGTGATACACAGGTATTAATGTAATGCAGATTCTATCAGTGAAACTGGAGATACATTTATCCTATAGTCAAATACATAGCCTTGTTTGAAAGAGCTCCTTGCAACAAAAGACTGAAAGGCTGTGCAGCAATCAGCCTGGAGCTCACTCTGAAGGATGTAACACCTAGGCAGAGTTTCCAAGGTGAACAGCCCACGTTGTGCTTTCAGTATGTTTTGTGCTTGTGCTGTCTTCAGTTGTCAAATGTTGACTCTCTTACTTTTGATGTTTTCAGTTTCCAAAACACTCTGAGCCTTTTATCAGCTGATATAATGGCAAAAAATAAGTCTATTAAGTCTCACTAGGTTTTTTTTTTTTTTTCATGATGAGAAAAGTGTTAAAAGATAGGATTAACTGAGAACTGAAGTCCTGTGTCTGGCTGATAGGTGCATAGGAGGATGTTAAATATAGAGAACATTCTCTTAGAAAAAAAATAAAAGTGATTCAAATATCTTCTCTTTGGTTATTGTTCACCTAGGCAGGGAATCCTAAAGAAACAGCTAAAGGGCTGCATGAAGGGAAATCTAAGAAGGAAAAGTGGTTTCTTCAGTAAGCCTTAAAGGCTTTTTGTTTGTGTAGAATCTGAATTGCAGAATTTCATGCTGAGTTTTCAAGATGATGAAAAATGTAATTGAATTTACATTAAGAGCAGCAGCTTTTCAAGAAAGCATAAACTCTTTTTCTTTCTTTTTTCTTTTCTTTCTTTTTTTTTTTTTTAGTTCAGATTTATTTCTTAACATTTTCCAGACACCAAAGTCAATACTATTGAGGATGCCAGAAGTACAGCAGTAGTTAATGTTACTGGTAGCATTAAAAGAGATGAGGCCAAGAGGCACTGGAGACTTGTGTTTTTCCTCCTTCCCTCCTTCATTTTGGAACACAGGGACAGTGCTCAAATGCGCCTTTCAAAACTTGTGCCCTGTCTGCAGCTGAAAGTGGTCTTGCCACTGGTTGTAGGATGGGAGATAGTTCTAAGTTACGATAGTGCAGTTGAGATAGGTACCAAACTAGTGCCTAAAACCTCTAAACCTATTGTGTGAAATGATGTAGTGGTCTCAGCTCAGTTCCCAGGAGTCTGAGAGATGGGTTAAATGAAACACCATCATACTGAGACTGAACTTATGTTCTTGTCATGAGCCATAGCAAGTAAAGATAATTTTTACACTTCCTTTGGAATGCAAATTTATGGACAAAACAGTTGAGCTTGAAAGCTTATGTCTTTTAAGTATCACAAAAATCTAGTATTTTCATGTGAAAAATTGTTTGCATGTAGACCTGAGTGCTCATGGTGTTCAAGCTGGCCTGGCTTGCAGCAATGGAACTGCAGCTATCTTGGCAATAAAATTAGAGCATGTTGACAGGGGTTTGAAAATAACTGCAAACTACAGGCAGTTGGCCTGCAGCAGTGGGGCATAGAGTAATGATACTAGGGGGACTGCAGAATATACCATAGGGTAAAAAAGTAAGCAGCCTGTTCTTGGAAGGCTATTAAGTCCTGTCTCAATATAAAACAGTTCTGCTGGATGTGCTGTTGTAAGCATTCTGTGTTTGGAATGTACATATGATTGTGAGCTACATTAGTTCTTCAGCCGCGTCTCAGAGATCAAGAACTGCAAAATAGACTCTAGAAGTATCCTTTGTTTTAGACCTGTGGAGCGTTTTGGCTGTGCTGTAAGCCCTGTAACGCCTGTAGCTCTCTCTAAAGCCATCTTCATCTCTCATTGGCAGAAATATTTACTGAGAAGTAGGGGAAGTTGCCAATTTTTTTTCTCACCATTTCGGCACTGCTCAGCTTCACAAAAGCGGATCCCATCAGGAACACATATGAATGAGTGGATGTGAGGAACACCATTCTGCAATTTAGAGCAGACATGTAAGTAAAAGTGCCATAAATATTATCTTAACTGGAAAACAGGAGCTAAGAGAGCGAGGAATGGCTACAGCAAAAACAAACAGAATGTATTGGTATTTTAGATACCTCGTGCAGACGTTGCCATGGTACTTCTTGAACGTAGCTTTTGACGTACACCACTTGGCAAAATGTTGTCATGAAGTGATTGCAGATATCTATAGCAAATTGTTCTAAACTCGGGATCTAAGAGAGCAAACAGCATTATTAGAAAGAAGCAATTACCTCATGTACAAAACTAGATTTTTCTGGTTGCTGTAAATATTTGAGAGGAATCAGTGTAGTTAAAAACACAGATTTCTCTTATTCCTGGCTTGGTGCACTGTGCCCAGTCATTTGACCAGCTTTCAGCACAGGCTGCAAATAGCAGCTCCAGTTGCATCAAAACCCTCCTGTTCTGTGGTACAGTGAGCTGCAATCCTTGGACTGAAATTAACTGCTAGCCTTACGCTTTGAGGATATAATGCTGAAATAATTATTTCAGCATAGTGAACTAATTATTCTGATTAAGTTTTACGTGGTAGAGATGGGGTTTCATTACAGAGACAGACAATTAGTGCTACAGATTGTCATTATGATAGATGCAATTGGTGAAGTAAGAGCACATTAGAAGAATTAAGAGGAGTCTCACATGCTTTGAGACCTGTTTAAAAATGCTATATAGGAATAATGAAGTATTATATGCTAAAAATTTTAAAAAAAAAGATGGATCTTATATGATAAAATTACAAAAATAATGTTAATTGTGAGGAAAAAAGGAGTCTGCAGCGGAGGAGGAGAACTTGTCTCTCATATCGCTGAAGACGACTTCAGTGCTGATCTGACATGCCAATTAAAATTAAAAGTATAATGAACACTTCCAAATGAAGTCATAAGAAACAGCAAGGCTAGTTAAAAAATAAAAAAATACCCCATTTTTTTTGGCCAACACAAGGACAATATTCTTTATGGTGTCTGTAGGTATCACAAGAGAGTTGTTTCCTTCCAGGTACTCCTGAGGAGAAGTCAGACGGAGATGTGTGCACACTTCCACTTCTTTAACAAAATGCTTCTTCCCCTCTCTATGCAGGCGAAGGAACTTAATTGTGTTTTTGCCATATTCACAGTTGAGGACTTCTACATCCTTGATCTGCAGAGAAAATACACGGCAGTTGTAAAGGAACTCAGTAGAAGCCTGAGTTATGCTCAGTCAATGAAACATAAACAATGTTTATGGCCTTTATTTCTGTGGTTACCTGTGATAATGAGAATATTTCCATTATAAATCTCAAAGTCCTGATGGGAAGAAAAAATGCTTTAGGAGACCATTATTACATCAGTAGCAGCTGTGACAAAATTTTAATATATTCTTGGGGCGAGATAGAACAGGAGTAACAGTGAACTAGTCTCTCATTTGTCATCTTTGAATTAGTTCTGACTGTAGACCTTCTTGAATCTCCCTTCCATCACCTCTTTCTGAACCCAGTGTCCCAGTGCGCTCTGTCACCTCAGGTACAGCCATGCAAAGGGCAGGCAGCATTCACACCTGCACCCTCCACGGGCACCCCACCTGCCAGGCTGGGCTGCCTCTCTCTAGAGACAGCTCCCGATTTTCCCTGCCACCAAGAACAGACTTTCCCCACCTCCTACTCCTCTGGCTCCTGGCTCTCCCTGTGCTGCACTGAGCTCTCTCTGCTTTCAGCAGAAGCTGCAAAATGCAGTCAGTGTCCTGCATGGCAGAACCCCTGGAAGTGGCAGAGCCCAGCAGGCACTGCACATCCGCAGGGACAGCTCTGCACATCCCCGGGGACAGCACTGCACACCCCCAGGGACAGCTCTGCACACCCCCAGGGAGAGCACTGCACACCCCCAGGGACAGCTCTGCACACCCCCAGGGACAGAGCTCTGCACACCCCCGGGGAGAGCTCTGCACATCCCCAGGGACAGCACTGCACATCCCCAGGGACAGCTCTGCACATCCCCAGGGACAGCTCTGCACATCCCCAGGGACAGCACTGCACACCCCCAGGGACAGCTCTGCACATCCCCAGGGACAGCTCTGCACATCCCCAGGGACAGAGCTCTGCACACCCCCAGGGACAGCACTGCACACCCCCAGGGACAGCACTGCACATCCCCAGGGACAGCACTGCACATCCCCAGGGACAGCACTGCACATCCCCAGGGACAGAGCTCTGCACATCCCCAGGGACAGCTCTGCACATCCCCAGGGACAGCACTGCACATCCCCAGGGACAGAGCTCTGCACATCCCCAGGGACAGCACTGCACATCCCCAGGGACAGCTCTGCACACCCCCAGGGATAGCACTGCACACCCCCAGGGACAGCACTGCACACCCCCAGGGACAGCACTGCACATCCCCAGGGACAGAGCTCTGCACATCCCCAGGGACAGCACTGCACATCCCCAGGGACAGCTCTGCACACCCCCAGGGATAGCACTGCACACCCCCAGGGACAGCACTGC